CTTTCTGCCCATTCACTAAACTCAGAGAAGCAGGTAGAGCCAAGAACGGCCTGTAATATCACAGCAGGAAAAATACGGTAATGATGCTGTTTTCAAAGTGGGGCTCCTGGCATCAGTGTCATCAGGGAAGCAGTTAGAAATCCTTGGGCCTCGGGACCAGCAGTTAGTGTAATGGCTATGTCACTGGACTCCCAAGTAGTTGACCGCAGTTCAAGTCCCGGACCCGTTGGCTTAAACTCATGCTGGGCGTGGGTGCATGCATGCCCAAGATCCCGAGAGAAGGGAGAAGGGACTGTGGTGTGGCCATCCCCCCTGGGGGGTGATTTCTCGCTTTCTGTCTCTCTGTCTCTCTCTGTCTTTCTGGCAAGCGCATGCGTCCTATAGCAAAAACCTTCCCAAAAAAAAAAAAAAAAAAAAAAAAAAAAGAAAAGAAATCCTTGGGCCTCACCCTACGCCCGCTGAGTCAGATAGTCCAGGGCAGGACTGACAAGGCCTCCCGGAGATTCTAACACACAGAAGTGTGAGGGCCACTGTGGTCATGTAAGGCTGCAAATACGTGAATTGCCTCAGTAGCAAAATAAACACGTTAACAGGGAAAAAACCTTTTCCCCTTCCTCCTCTTTCTCCCGCATTGCTTCTAGCCCTCCAGTTGCTTACATATTTGGGAAAACATATCTTTTTCCACTATAAAATAATTCGGACAAACCTAGGTCCAAAGCCAAACACCAGAAAGTTGGCGAGATGAGCAGGAAAAGCCACGTCTTACACTTCCTACCCCCTGCTTGCTCTGCTGGTGGCCACAGGGTTTGTCATTTGCCAAGTGCTGGTCAAACCTTGCATATCGGGTGTTTAACATCAGGAAGTAGAAAAGAACTGCTTTTTAAAAAGTTTCTTTCTTCCATGAGAAAGAAGGAGAATGAGGGAGAGAGAGAGATGGGCACCCTCAACACAGTGCAGTACGCCTCCAGCCTCAGCCTGCCCGTATCACGGGCAAACGTTCGCGTGCCCAGTGTTTCCAGGGGAGCTTCCAGATGCAAACCTGGGACTTCCCCACGTGTACCCATCATCTCAGAGGACTGCATTGCTGCTACACCACCGTCTGCTCCCGCGAGACCTGTGCTTTGAAGGGAGTCACATGGGAGCCTGAATCCTAGCTGTCTCTACCTGGCTGGGTAATCTCAGCTAAAGCTGCTGCACCTCCCTGAGTCTGTTTTCTCATCTTACGAAAGGAGAGCCATGTCTGACAGGTTTGTTAGGAGTAAAGGAAAGCGTACAGCAGGTAGACGCCCAGTATACGATCTTGCTTTCCTTCCCACTCAGCCTCATCCTTGACAATGTGTCGTTCACAGGAATCATCTTCACAACTAGAGAATTTCACCAGGGCAGACAGCATACATTTCCCAGAGAATAGCACAAGATTCACAAATTTAGTAATGGTTCTTTGGATCAGCCCATGTGTGGAGGTTAAGGTGGCTGGATCCCAAATGGCTGACAGCAACGTTCGAGTCCTGCACCTGACAGCTTGAAAAACACGCCAGGTGTGTGTGTGTGTCCAAAATCCTGAAAGAGAAAAGAAAGCAATGCGGCATGAGCATTCCCCGTGGAATGTTTTTCTTTTCCTCTCTTTCTCCCAGTTCTTGCATTCTCTCTCTCTCCAGTAAGTGAATGTATCGTCTGGCAAAAAAAAAAAGAAAAAAATAAAAAGATACTTAGGTTTCAAATATTTTGATCTGCCTCAGAATAAAACCACAATATCATTTTATCTTGATTCACTTTTTTCATACTGTTAAGTTGTTGGGAGAGTCATGATGCATTTTTCTGTTCTGTTTTTGTGCTTTTTTTTTTAAATGCAAAAATGCATCATGAATTTCTTGAACACCCAATAAAAAAATTCTCATTTTTTTCTTAGCTGCTAACAGCTTAGTTGGTATTTTTATAATTGTGTTTAAGGAGATAGTTCTAGAAAACACAGATTAATTTGTCTGTATCTTAAGATAATTTAACATTTTAGGGAACCAGCAATTAACATAATGGCTGTGTCGCTGGACTCCCACGTAGTCGACCGCGGTTTGCGTCCCGTACCCGGTGGTTTAAAACTCACGCCGGGCACATGTGCGTGCATGCCCAAGATCCCGAGAGGAGAATGGAGGAGAAGGGATTGCGGTGTGACCATCCACCCTGGCGGGGGATTTCTCGCCTGTCTGTCTGGTGAGCGCATGCGCCCTATAACGAAAACTTCTCCCAAAAAAAAAAAAAGATAATTTAACGTTTTAGAGAGAGATGTTTGCTATAGGGCACATGCACTTGCTGGAGAGACAGAAAGTGAGAAATTGTCCCCCAGGGGGGATGGCCATGCCACAATCCCTTCTTCTCCAGTCTCCTCTCAGAATTTTGGACACACACACACACACACACAAGCCCAGCGTTTTAAACCCACTGGGTCTGGGACTTGAACCATGGTTGACTACGTGGGAGTCCAGCAATGTAACCATAATGCCATCTGCTTGTCCCAAGATAATTAACTTTTAATTTGCTTAAAGATTTCTAAATTTAAATCTTGCTTACCTGCAAATGATATATAATCACTCTTTTTTTCTGGATCAAAATGGAAGACTTAACAAAGGAAAATGCAATTCAGATATTCTGATGGTTCTGAAAATTGTCACTAAAATGCCAGTGTACTTGAGGAACAAGTTACATTCCAGTTGTCCCAGAATTCATTCCTAGTGAACAGTGAGAGGCTTCCCTCTCCGTTATAATCGCTGACTGAATTACAGGAGACACCACTCGCACGTGTCTCCAGCCACACTTCTAAGTGTGTATATCTTTTTATTTTTTTAATTGCCAGAGACAGGCAGAGAGAGAGGTAGATAGAGAAAGGACCCCCAGTGGGGCATGGTCACACGCCCAACCTTCTCCATCTCTCCATCCTGTGGAGATTTGGGGCACGCACGAACATGTGCCCGTCATGTTTCTCTCAAGCCACAGGGGCCAGGACTCAAACCGTGGTTGACCACATGGGATTCGGTTCTCTTAACCATTAGGCCATGGGGCCAGCCCGCCTCTCTTATTGAACAATGCAGTGTTTCACCTGGAATGCATGACTGAGGCCTGTCATTTTGAACTCGAGTTCATTTTGGATGCCTCAGCTCTATTCCCATTCTTGCAAGGTGAAATCCCAAAGGCAGTGATGCCGCGAGCTAGCTCCCATGACTGCAATGAAGAGGTTGAGTCCACTCCACTCCCCATTCCTAAATCACATCATCCCAAACTGCCTTTAAATGGCAATGCTTTCTTCCCATTCACGTCTGTTTCCTATGGTAAAACCCCACAGTACTTTACAATATCTATTTCTAAACAGCAGCTGTAAAATGAATGAGCCACTTTTTATTGTTTTTCCTTTGAAAGGAAAAGTAGTAGAACCAGTGGTGGCAATAAGGGCCAGGGCCAGAAGAATGAGGACTCAAATTCACTCTGAGGGGCCTGACTGCAGCCAGCATTAGACCCCCATAGGAAGGCTGGGTCTGTAGTCGGATCGTGGTGTCAGGGCCCTGTTGAGAGTGCTGTCTCTGTTTCAGGGAAGACATAATGTTTCGTTTGATTTTAGGTTTTTTGCCATAGGGCCAGAGACAGAGGCAGACAGAGAGAGAAAATGAGAAATCACCCCCAAGAGGGATGGCCACACTGCAATCCCTTTTGTGTGAACACATGTGCCTGGCATGATGTTGACTCGAACCATGTTCAGCCATGTGGGAATCCAGCACCTTAATCATCATGCCACCTCCTGGCCCAAGAACAAAAAATGTCAAAAAATGAATTCTGAAGAGTATGTGTTCAGATTACTCCTATCATCCCAGGAATTTGCAAGGCTTATTTAAATGAGTTCCATCAGAAACACAAAACCCATTGTTAAAATGCATAACCTCGGGATTGGGAGAGGCATTGAGTATTTTAAGGTGAGGTGGGTGGGCTTCAGTACCTATTTCTGGCTCTTGATTCTGTGAGGGAGGGGTTTTACAGGCCCTTCATGGTAAAGGTGGCAGCCAGCTGGTGTTAAAAGCCCCTGCACCCCTTACCTGGGTAGATGATGGCTGCCCTCCTCCTCCACCATCTTGGGGAGCTGACCTGGGGCTGACTGGCCTCTGCCTTCACCCACCATGGCCCCTTGTGAGCCCCCGACTTTCTGGTTTCCAAGACCCTGCCCTAGGGCATCTCTCATCCCTTCAAGGCTGCCTGGGGAGAGGGGAAGGAGGAGGGGAGAGGAACGGTGGGGGCTGCAGAGGCACACCCTATCCTCTCCCAGAAACTCAGGATGTTAACTTACAGGCCTCTCATTTAAGTTAAGAGATGTGAGCAAAATTATTTTTAAGGAGTTGAAATTGGTAGAAAACAGTATCTTATAATCTACATTTATATTGCATTTTGAATTTGTATCATCTTTGTTTTCATTTTTTTTTGGGGGGGAGAGGTATTTTTGCTATAGGGCACTTGCACTTGCCAGACATCACCCCCCAGGGGGGATTGCCATGCTGCAATCCCTTCTCTTCTATTCTTTTCTTGGGATCTCAAACATGCACGCACACGCCCCAGGCGTGAGTTTAAGCCACTGGGTCCGGGACTTGAACCGTGGTCGACTACATGGGAGTCCAGTGACATAGCCATTACGCTAATTGCTGGTCCTGAATTTGTGTCTTTAGGCAAACCCTTAGCCTCCTTTTTCTTCCTTGTAAAAGAAAGTCAGATCAAATGATCTCCAGATCCAGTCCTGGTCCAAGGTTGACTGTTCGTAGCATTTTCACAGAGTTTGCTCTTCTGATTCTCACAATGTAATGACCTAATGCAGTTGTCGGCATCTTCACTGTACAAATGTGGAAAATGTCACTCAGGTTAGGGGAACTGCCCGAAGTTCTGCAGACAGGATAAAACACAGCAAGCAAACGACCCCTTGTGCAATGGCTTCTCCACTCCCCCTTCCTGCATTTCTTAGACAAATACAGAGATAAAATTGTATACCCATTTAATTAAATCTTTATTCAATGAAAGGATGTATAAAAACTTACAAATCTGAGAACTTAACTATACATGAAATAGGATGACGGGGTGTTCAGTTTTTAACATAGACACACAGTATAGCTATTAACTATTCTCCCCTTCCCTTTCCCCTTCGGTCCTTATTTCTGGCTCCTCGTTCATCCTATGAGACCATTCTCCGATTGGCCTAAAGGAAGATAAATGGACATTTTTTTTTTTTCTTACATCTTTCAGGCCAATGGAGAAAATTCCAGGATGTTAAAAAATTTGAGAATAAACATCAAAATGAAGTTTGTTCCCAAACAGCGATTAGACCTTTTTTGTCCTGATTTCTCTGCCATGTTTTGATGCTTCAGTGAACGCTGCCAGTAAACTATTAGCGTTGACTTTTAAAGTCATTGAAGTGACTACATCTGCTTACAAGCTCACACCTTCCCCTGAAAGTTGCATATTCCTCCATCCTTTTCCCTGCGGTATACGCACTGATTTAAAAGCAGCTCGTTGGTGTTTAAATGAATGAACACTGGCAAATGGCATGTATAGAACAGTACTGTCGAATCAGATTTTTAAAACACACAGCACATCTGTCAGAAACAAAAATACAGCATGTTGTTCAACTTAGAAGCCAGCAATTAGCTAAGGCATGTGCATTAATTCACCTGTTTCTAGCAAGTAGCCACACACTTTCTCTTACAGACACACAAACTCACAGCTTGTCATGTTTTATCCAAAAATTAAGATTGCCATCACATTATTACTTTGTCTCTTGTTTGGTTAAAAGTAGATTTCTTAACTAATGATTTTTCTTAACTGGACATAATCTTAAACGATGCATTCTGAAGTAAGACACCTGGAAAGATAAACACAACATTTTCTTGGGTTGGAAGTTTCCCCACACCTTCTAGATTTTGCATAGTACAGAGCCCAGCTGTATCTCTAAGAAGCTTGCTATCTTTTCTGACATTGGTTTTCTGAGAAGGAAGACTTATTACCCAGGGAAAGTCATAATTTTAGCTTTCTGGTTGTTTTGTTTTGTCATATACTCTTCATTAGTTCCAAGTATACTTTTAAACAATCTAAAACTTCTCCACATCGATTTGCGTTTATCAGTACTACTGACCATTATCTTTCCAATAGCCCCTGAATTAAAGTAAATATATTCCAGGTTTATAATGCACAAAGCCTTTACAGAGGTGGGGCTGGGGCTGGGGAGAGGAGAAAGAACGGGGAACAGGGACCTGTTCGCATCATGCCATGAAGAGCTACAGTTCTGAACTGGGGGAAGGGAGGGAAGATAGTCTTTGTAAAAATGACCGAGTTTTTAAAAAGGTTAAGTAACATTCAGTCTAATAGCACAGTTTCCTGTTCCTTTTTGATGGAGGCTAACACTGGGTGGTCGGGCTCTGTTACTTCCGAGTCCCCACTGCCCAGGAGAATGGACCGCCCCTCGTCTAGGGCGAAGACGTCCGAGTTCTGGTTTTGGCATGCGTGTTTCACCACCTCGTTGGGGGTTGAGAATGTCTTGTCACACAGGTTGCACTTGTAGGGCTTGTTGGTCTGCACCAACATGTTGTCCATCTGGCTGCCCTCCTCGAAGGTGCAGAGCTCCAGCGTCTGTTTGTCCACCATGGTGTACGTGTCAATGCTCTGGTTGAGGCACACGTGGCGGGCGGCCTGGTTGGCCCTGCAGAAGCTCTTGTCGCAAGTGCTGCATTTGAAGGGCTTGCCGGTGTGGATGTACATGTGCTCCCGCCAGTGGCTCTTCTGGATGAACTTGCGGCCGCAGATGGAGCACTCGTACTTGCGCCTCTTCACCTCGCGCTCCTGGTCCGCCTGCTCCAGGTTGTCGATGTCCGCGATGTCCGAGGGTGGCGGGGTCTCCGACTGCTGCTGCCCGTCGATGATGGGCGAGTCGGAGATGTGCTGCAGCTCACTGTCACTGATCATGCCCGCCTCGGGCACTTCCAGGGCATCCTTCCCAAGGTCAGTGGCATTGCTACAGAGTGACAAGGGGACACGGCTTTCCCCCTGGTGGCTGGCGGGGAAGGGGACCCCTGTGTGGATCTGGAGGTGCTCCCGCAGGTTGCTGCGGAGGGTGAAGCGCCGCCCGCACAGGTGGCAGGCATAATACTTGGGAAAGCTTCCATTCCTCTTCATGATGCTGGGCTTGACGTGGGCTATGGTGAGGGATGCCGGCTGCTCGTCGGAGGAGGAGGCTTCCAGGTTGGTCTCCTCCCCGGGAGGAGGGGGAGGGACAGGAGTGGAAACAAGTTCTGGAGATAGTGAGGTCTGCAGCGGGTCTGAGGGGGTCAGATTTGTCCGGTTCACCTGGGCCAGATTTGAAGTCAGCTGAGAGAGCTGCGAGGCCTCAGGCACCTGCTCCTGGCTCACCCTGGAGGTCGGCGGCCTGGGCTCTCGGGCCAGCTTTTCGGGGGCTGAGGCAATCTTGGTGGCCTGTCTCAGCTGATGATCTGCAATCTGGATGCCATACAAGGAAGAGGCCAACGGGAAAACTTGGTCGGGATGAGAAAAGGCTCCTTGGCTGGCAAGGCTGGCTTCCTGGATGAGGGGGTACGCATGGAGGAACTTGATCCCCTGTTCCAAGCGGACCGGGTCGATAAGCTGGGGTGCCATCTTCCCGGTGTACATCAAATGCAAGAGATAGCTGAAGATATCAGGCTGGATGTCAGTTGGTTTCAAACGCACACACTCACTGAAAGGAACAAGCACAAACATCTATAAGTAAAGGCCAGCCCAAGGCTCAGATGGTAACATAAAGCCTGGAGGAAAAGAAGGGACATTCCCTATTCCTGACTGTTTGAACCACTGGCCTGGACCTTTGGGCTAAAAGTCCAAGATCTGTGTGAACCTGTCCAGAGCTCAGGAGTCTGAAAAACATGGCAGGCGTGCGGATACCCAAAATCCCAAGAAGAGAATATAAAGAGAAGGAACTGTGGTGTGGCCATTCCCCTGGGGAGTGATTTCTCACTTTCCTTCTTTCTGTCTCTCTCCAGCGAGCACACACACACCCATAACAAAAACTAATAAAATAAAAGCCAAACAAACTATCCGATCAGAAAGTTCCTTCACCTGTAAAATGACACAAGGGAGCAGGCGCCCAAGGCAAGACACCAAAGCTGAGACAGGAAGCAGACCTAATTCTGTGTGCTCTGTGCCCATCCACACCAAGATCCTTCCGAGCACTGAACCTATCCTGTGTGTGGGCCAGGAGGTGGTGCAGTGGTTAAGGCGCTGGACGACTCCCACGTGATCAACTGCAGTTCGAGTGCCAGACCCAGCAGCTTGAAAATCATGCTGGAGGTCTGTGCAAGAGTGCCCAAAATTCCGAGAATGAAGAAGGAACTGCCGTGTGGCTATTCCCCCTGAGGGGTGATTTTTCACTTTCTGTCTCTCAGGTGCTGTAACAAAAATCTCTCAAAAACAAACAAAAGGGGTCGGCAGGTGACATGGTGATTGGGGTGCTGGATTCCCACACGTGGCTGACCACGGTTTGAGTCCTGGACCTGGCAGCTTACTTTCTCATGTTCTCTCTCTTTCACTATGTCCCTCTCTGGTCAAATTTTAAAAATGAACTAACTACGGGACCAGCAGTTGACGTAATGCCTGTTTCGCTGGACTCCCATGTAGCTGACCGAGGTTTGAGTCCCAGACCCGGTGGCTTAAATTCACGCAACGTGCATGTGTGTACGTGCCCAAGATCCCGAGAGGAGAAGGGATTGTGGTGTGGCCATCCCCCCTGGGGGGTGACTTCTCACTTTATGTCTCTTTCTGGCGAGCACATGCGCCCTTAAAAACCTCTCAAAAAAAAAAAGAAAAAAAAAAAAAAGAACTAAAGTTAAATAAAATAATGCTTAAAAACAAAAACAAAAAAACACAACAGAAAAAAAACAGGGGCCGGTAGGTGGTGTGGTAGTCAAAGGCCCTGGATTCCCACATGGCCAACCACTGTTCGAGTCCCGGATCTGAAGGTTTCCTTTCTTGCTTTCCCTTTCTCTCTCTCTGTCTCTCTCTGCTCAAGTTAAAAAATAACAAGTGAAAATAAATAAATAATTATTAAAAAAAAAAAAAACCAATAAACAAAATAACTATCCTGCATGATAGAAAAGGCCAGTTTTTGTTTATCCCCAGTTGGCAGCTACAAAAGCTGAAGTCTCTCCCTAAAGTAAGTGACATATCTGAGGCACCTGGAAGTACCGCTGATTTTCTGAGACTTCTGTTTACATCACTTCAGAAATATCATCCTGCTCGAGCAGCAGTAATAAAGAGGGTCCTAAGAATGCCCCAGACCATCAGGAATGGCAGAAGTTCTGGTGCACATTAGAAAGCAACAAGATAGACCTCTATCCATCATGTCACCCACTGAGTGGATGAATATATTCTATAGACAAAACATTTTCAACCTCAAAGACAGTGTCCTTGAAAGCCTTTAGCGTTTATAATTGTTTGGATTAAACCGAACTCTTTTTTTGGCTCTTTAGCAATCACGTTCATTCTACTGACATATGTTTTTCAGTATGCTAAAATATTAAACAGCTATCCTGCTCTTCTAAATTAACATTTTAGTCTATTAAAAAAAGTGACTTAAATAGTGACAGAACAGACTTGAGTAATTACTGTACTGCTGTCAATGTGTGTAAAAAAGAGTACATACAAATAATCACATGAAAAATGTTTGATTGTGGGGCTAGCAGTTAGGGTAATAGCTATGTCGCTGGACTCCCATGTAGTCGACTGTGGTTCGAGTCCCAGACCCGGTGGCTTAAAACTCACGCTGGGTGCGTGTGTGTGCGTGCCCAAGATCCCGAGAGGAGAACGGAGGAGAAGGGATTGCAGTGTGGCCATCCCCCCTGGGGGGTGATTCCTCGCTTTCTGTCTCTCTGTCTCTGTCCCTCTGGTGAGCGCACTCGCCCTATAGCAAAAACCTCTCCAAAAAAAAAAAAAAAAAAGTTTGATTGCCAAGTATGGAAATAAAAAAGCAAAAAAATCCAACTTGAAAACTAGTGGCCCACACCAGCCAGGTGGTATGGTGGCTGGACCCCACGTGTCTGAAGGCTCAGTTTGAGTCCTGGACCTGGTGGCTTGAAAAACATGCCAGGCACATGTGCATATGCACCCAAAATCCAAAGTAGAGAATGGAGGAAAAGGGATTGTAGTGTGGCCATCCCCCCAGGGAGTGATCTCTCACTTTCCTTCTCTCTGTCTCTCTCCAGTGAGCACACACACCCCATAACAACACCCTTTTCCCCCAAAACTAGCAGCCCTTTGACAGTATAAAGACACACAGATCACTCATACCTTTATTCGGAGATTTAAAATATTCCTTTAAGCTATTTATACCTCTTTAAATAGGAATGCAAATACAGGTGGGTCTTTCCTTTACATGATTTCCAACAATATGGGGGTAGTGTAACACTTAGGTGATGTGGGAAAACTCAATATTCAAAATAAAGTTCCCAGGATTTTACTTTAGTAATATAAATAATCTACTCCCAAGTGACAAAATGACAGGAGACACCTCCACAGGACCAGGCAGGAGACCACAGAACTGTGAAACCGTGACCTTCAGGGATGCAAACTACCCCCGACAAGTATATGCCTTTCCTTCTGCAGGGATGGACCATCCTCAAGGGGAGGGGGGCAGAGTCAGGAAGCCTACTAGTGGACCCCACCCCATCCTCCAGAAGGAACAGGACAGGAAGCCAAAGGGGGTTTGCTTGGTAGCACTCGTGAAAGGTACAACCCAGCTGGTTCCCCTTACAGAGAAACGTTGGTAAATTTTGTGAACTTTCTCTCAGTTGTTGTTGGATAGGATGTCTGGCCTAAACAGTGTGTAAACAGTGACTTGACAGTAAGCCTCGTGGGTTTTAAAGACTACGTGCCGTCCCTGGTGGCAAAGAAAGGGGAGGAGCTAGGGGACCACAGTATACACCTCAGCCAGGCTTGGAGGGAGACAACTCTAAGAAGCTGGGTAGCACCGGTGGCAAATGCCAGGCAGAGGAGAGCAGCGAGTCCCTGGGATTATGGCTGGGGGCCTCTGGGGTCCAGGGAGGCCTCCAGATGCCAATTTATTTTGATTTGTTTATTTAAAAAATTATTTTTAAAGCAGCAGCACATGTGGACGTATATACGTAGCCACACACTAATGACAGGTGGAACTGTTCCAAGTTCCTATCCTTTCACATTTCAGCCACCTCCATCCTTGACTGCTTTTCCTGCAGGCAGCCTGACCTCTGTCTCCTAACGACACAGCTCACTGTGGGCAACGGTGGTCACTTCCCAGTCCTGCAGGAAGGACACAGCTCCCTATAAGAGAATTACATCTAAGTGGCTTCATTTGCTGTAAAACTTATATAGGAGAAAAATAAATATGGTTTTAGTGTGTAGCTACAGATCTTCCCAGATAAACTTTTACAGTGATTTCCATTCTTAATTTTTCCTTCACTAGACCTTTCAAATAAAAGATTGGCTTAAGGGACTTTGAAAATAAGGATTTTGAAATAATGTTAAACACAGTCAGGACGTTGTACTGAGTAAGGCTGGCCCCACCATGCAGGGTTTAAACTTCCCACTTAGAGAAGGCATATAAGACAGAGCCACCTAGTGGTCACTGCAGACATTAAACACTCTCTACACACTGACCTTCTTCCTAGCAGGTCACAGTGCCTCATATACTGGGCTCGCACTGGGCTCTGGCTTAAAAGCCCGCTCCTAGTCTTCCCCCTGGGTTTGCCCTGCCCTGGTGAGCTTGAATTCTGCACGACGAGGTGGGAAAAAGCTAGCCACTAGGAAGTGGGCCACATAGCATGTGCCACTTTTGTGTAGTAAGTAACGCATACTACTGCTTAATCTTGGGACTTCTGTTATACGAAGATCGAAGATTGCATTCCCTTAGGAGAAAGGCATTTATGTATTGCCCTACACTTAGGGTCGGTTTCCTGCATCTGATTAAAACCCATCTCATGGTTTTCATTTACTCCTCAAAATTAAAATCTTTCAAGACAATTTAATTCACTGTGTTGAGACTGAAGTCCCCATTAGCCACGAGGTCTTTTAAGACAATTTAATTCACTGTGCTGAGACTGAAGACCCCATTAGTCATGAGGTTCCCTAACTCCAGGAAGTTAAAGGGAGCCCCTCAGTGTTGCAGGATGAATGACTTCTGGCCTTCATTCCTATTGTCCTAATACTCCTCTGTCTTGCTCCTCCAGAAGTTTATCAAGTGGTTATACTACTGTGTGCAAATATAGGGGGTTTTCGAAAAGTTAATGGAAGGGGAAAAAACTGCATGGATTTAAAAATCATTTGAACCTCAAGGAAACACTTACACTTTAATTCCATGTTTCCACAAACGTTGTTTTTCTTTAACTTGCCAGAGAGCACATGTACTTGCCAGAGAGAGAAAGAGAAAGACAGAACTCCCCATTGGAGTGTGGTCACACAGTAATCCCTTCAAACTTCCATTTCTCTATCCTGCTAGGATTTGGGACACACACACACACACACACACACACATGCACCCAGTCATTCTTAAGCTGCCAGGTCTACGTCTCAAACTGAGGCCAGCCAGGTGGAATTGGGCTCCCTTAACCACGAGGCCATGGGATTGGTCCCCCATAAACTTTTTGAATTCCCCTCATACTTCAATTTTGCTCTGTGCTATTCACAAACATTTGCTGCCCTTAAGAAGCTTAGAAATGTGGGGAGGTTAGTACACAGAGAGATCACTTTTGATCATTTTGCATTCCTTGAATTGGGAAGGGTCGCAGAAGACGTGATATGGGAGCTGGGACTTAGGTAATGGTTGGAATACCAGCAAAATGCAGAAAAGAAGAGCCCATGACACAAAACTAGGCCAAGCCACGGTGAAGATGAGGGGCAGGTGTTCCAGTGTAGCCCACTCAGAGAGGAGGCTGGAGCAGGCCAGGCTGCCCCTGAATGACAGGACAGGAGCCCGTTCATTATTCTGACATGCACTGGGTATCTTCCTAGCTTCTGATTAAAGAATTGGGACCAGCAGATGGAGTAATGGTTACATTGCTGGACTCCCACAGTCGACTGCAGTTCAAGTCCTGGACCTGGCAACTTATGACTCACACCAGGCATGTGTGCGTGTGTACCCAAGATCCTAGGAAGAATGGAAGAGAAGGGACTGTGGCATGGCCGTCCTCCCTGGGGATTGATTTCTCACTTTCTGTCTCCCTGTCTCTCTAGCAAACATACAAGCACCATAGCAAAACTCTCTCTCAAAAAAAAAAAAAGAAAAGAAAGAAAAAGAAAAAGAAAGAACACCATCCAGTGGGCTTCTGATCAAAGGCACACCACAGTGAAGGCAGTGTTTAGGGAGAGTAATGCAGAGCAGCAATGGTTAGGAAATGGAAGTGAGATGGAAAGCATACTTTTCTGCCAAATATTTTGCAGAAAACATGATTTGGGGACAAATAAGATGTGATCTGAAAGAAATTTCTAAGCCTGGGTTACTTGAAGGTAAGAAAATACAAATCAGGAGGGACCTCAGAGAAGAGATTTAATTCCGTTTTCAACATGCTTAGTAAGATAAAAGGAGGATATTAACGCCAAATGCCTGGCCTTGTGAAGGAGTTCTGGAGACAGAAAGAGCTAGGCCAGAGCTATAAATTGGACGTTCCTACAGAGGTGAAATCTAAGAATGAGATAACCCGAGACCGAAGTCTGTCTGCGAAGACACGCGTTTAGAGGGCAGACAGGGGGTGTTCAGTCATGTGGATGCAAATGGCAGCTGCCGAGGAAGGAGGGAGAGGGCAGATGCTGCGCAAGGACAGTGGTTTTGACGCAGGGGTGACCTCCGAGAAACCATTTCAGTAGAGTGATGGGATGGAAACCACAGAGCAAATGGATAGGAAGAGTGTGGGATGAGCAAAGTACCAGCAGGGACACAGGCCACCCTTTTAAGACCTTCTGTGGTAAAACCAAGGACGAGCAGCCCCATAACTCAAGTAGTCGGCAACACGGGGGAGGCCTCGATCCCCCGCGGGCTGGGAGGGGTGAAGGCAAGAGGAGGATGCAAAGCATATGGAAAGAAGACAGAATTAAAATTCAGAGTAGGATCTGGGGGAACGGGGGAGAGAGGAGGCTTGTTTTCCTTAGACACTGAGAGGCCCTCTTCTCTAGACAGGAGAGATGGGGAGGAAGAAAATAGCACAGATCTAGAGATACTCTAAGATAGAAAACAGGGATATTAGGGGAATACAAGCTTCCCAGTAGAGTAGGAGTGAAGAATAAATAAATAAATTTATTTATTTATTTAATAAATACTGGACATTAGGGGCATACTGGAAGGGGGGCCAGGGATGGAGGAGCGAGAGAAAGGGCTTAGGTAACAAATCCACAGATTACTGACAGAGGGTAAACCCAGAACACGCTGCTGGCTTTGCAACAGACCCGATCCTGACTAAGCAGGGGACACCCAGTAAGGATATCTGGAGTGGAGGGCGGCATGGGGCTGGCAGGCTCGGTGATTCTCAAGTGCTAGTGAAAGCATGAGTCACCAAGAAGGGGTGGGGAAAGTGGAGTCACCCGGGAACTGGGCGCCTAGGAGCCTAGGGAGAGGTAGAGAGATCCCTGGTCTTGATGGCAGCAAAGAGCAGGAGGAGTGGGAAGAGGGACATGGAATTGAGAAGTCCATAGTCATTTGATTATCAGCAACCACTTTAGTTACCTGGTCTGATGGACAAACAACATCTTAAAGTAATTGGAGAATGAAGCAAGAACTGATTTGTGTGCCTTGAAGTACACATCGCCGATGGCAACCGTGCAGTCACACAGGAAACCAAACTCTCGCTGAGCGTTTAACTGTTGCAGGAGAATAAGTCCATGGTTGGCCAAATCCATTTTTTAAAAAATCTGCAAAGCAAACAATTTTATTTTTAAGAAAGGTGATTTTCAAATAAATATGTGTCCTTTATAGTCACCAATAGTAATGATCATAGCTCACATACAATCACAGCTACCGAGCCAGGGGCTGCTCAGAATAGTACATAAATTCATTGGCGTAGTTTCATAACAGTCCTCGGGAGTACGTCTGTCGTTCTGTCATCTGCCTCTTACAGATGAGGTCATGTAGGGTAAATGAGGGGTTACAGTGACTCGCCCCAGCTTATACAGATGGCAAGTGGAGGAGCCAGGAAACAAACTCCTGTAGTCTGCTTTTGTGTATCAAGCCCCTGACATGGCAAATATCCCTGGATTGTTTAGTCTTTCAGTTTAAGATTCCAAATGCAAATTCTAAAGATCCCTCAGAATTTCTCAAATCTTCCAAGCAGACAGATAAATTAAGGGAGCTGAGGCAGGATCACATCAGGACAGGGTGAAATGACTAAGCTTGGGGCAATTTCCCAGTTCCTGCTGGGTACACCGGCCACTGATGTAACAGGTGACACCTGCGTGATTCCCTAGCCTCAGCACCGATCAGGTGGGGAAGCAGGACTGGCGCTCAGCTATGTTGTTCCAGGAGAAGGAGGTGGGTTTATTTAATAAATACTGGACATTAGGGGCATACTGGAAGGGGGGCCAGGGATGGAGGAGCGAGAGAAAGGGCTTAGGTAACAAATCCACAGATTACTGACAGAGGGTAAACCCAGAACACGCTGCTGGCTTTGCAACAGACCCGATCCTGACTAAGCAGGGGACACCCAGTAAGGATATCTGGAGTGGAGGGCGGCATGGGGCTGGCAGGCTCGGTGATTCTCAAGTGCTAGTGAAAGCATGAGTCACCAAGAAGGGGTGGGGAAAGTGGAGTCACCCGGGAACTGGGCGCCTAGGAGCCTAGGGAGAGGTAGAGAGATCCCTGGTCTTGATGGCAGCAAAGAGCAGGAGGAGTGGGAAGAGGGACATGGAATTGAGAAGTCCATAGTCATTTGATTATCAGCAACCACTTTAGTTACCTGGTCTGATGGACAAACAACATCTTAAAGTAATTGGAGAATGAAGCAAGAACTGATTTGTGTGCCTTGAAGTACACATCGCCGATGGCAACCGTGCAGTCACACAGGAAACCAAACTCTCGCTGAGCGTTTAACTGTTGCAGGAGAATAAGTCCATGGTTGGCCAAATCCATTTTTTAAAAAATCTGCAAAGCAAACAATTTTATTTTTAAGAAAGGTGATTTTCAAATAAATATGTGTCCTTTATAGTCACCAATAGTAATGATCATAGCTCACATACAATCACAGCTACCGAGCCAGGGGCTGCTCAGAATAGTACATAAATTCATTGGCGTAGTTTCATAACAGTCCTCGGGAGTACGTCTGTCGTTCTGTCATCTGCCTCTTACAGATGAGGTCATGTAGGGTAAATGAGGGGTTACAGTGACTCGCCCCAGCTTATACAGATGGCAAGTGGAGGAGCCAGGAAACAAACTCCTGTAGTCTGCTTTTGTGTATCAAGCCCCTGACATGGCAAATATCCCTGGATTGTTTAGTCTTTCAGTTTAAGATTCCAAATGCAAATTCTAAAGATCCCTCAGAATTTCTCAAATCTTCCAAGCAGACAGATAAATTAAGGGAGCTGAGGCAGGATCACATCAGGACAGGGTGAAATGACTAAGCTTGGGGCAATTTCCCAGTTCCTGCTGGGTACACCGGCCACTGATGTAACAGGTGACACCTGCGTGATTCCCTAGCCTCAGCACCGATCAGGTGGGGAAGCAGGACTGGCGCTCAGCTATGTTGTTCCAGGAGAAGGAGGTGGGCTGTGAAAGGTGTAAGGCCAGCTGGAAGGCAGGGGGGAGGCAGGGGAGCTGGAGGGGGGAATACTGGGGTGAGGGGGAGAGGTCAACATTCAAATCCGAATGTTCAGACTCCAGGTTCCATGATTTCCATTACTGACATGTGACCTTATCAAACCTATCCTGCCTAATCTACCTAGAGCCAACTAATATTGTCGGCTCACCAAATCACTAGACTGCCCTTTCCACAAACAGTTTTTATAAAAGCCTGCTACACATAGGCCAACATTATACTTTACATTATACTTATGGTGAGAAAGAGTGAATGCTTTCTCCCTAACATTAAGAATAAGGCAAGGACGTATGCTCACTATTCAACACAGTACTGGAAGTACTAGCTAGTGCAATAAAGAAAAGAAATAAGAAGGCATACAGATGGAAAGGAAGAAACAAAACTGCCTCTATTTGTAGATAACATAATTATAATGTAGAAAAACCTAAAGAATGTGTAAAACACTTCTTGAACTAATATGAGTTTGGCAAAGTCATAAATATACAAAACAAACAAATCAACTGTAAATCTACATACTAACAATGACCGCATGGACACTGAAGATAAAAATACATAATTTACAGGACCAGCAGATGGTAGAATGGTTACATCTCTGGACTCCCACATGGTTGACCATAGTTCCAGTACTGGACCCAGCAGCTTAAAACTCATGCTGGGTACGTGTGTGCATGTGCCCAAGATCCCAAGAGGAGAATGGAGGAGAAGGGACTGGGGTGTGGCCATACCCCCCGGGGGGGTGATTTCTTGCTTTCTGTTTCTCTAGCGAGCACAAGCACCCTATAGCAAAAAATCTCTTTAAAAAAAGTCACTTACAATTACTTAAAAAATGAAAAATTTTTTTGTAGCTACGGATAAGATTATTTTAGAATGTATATATAAAACCAAAGGAACCAGTATAGGTTAAAATAATTTTTTTAGAGAGATATTTTTGCTATAGGGTGTGTGTGCTCGCTAGAGAGACAGAGAGAAAGAAGCCAGAAATCACCCCCCAGCGGGGATGACCATGCTGCACTCCCTTCTCTTCCATTCTCCTCTCAAGATTTTGGGCATGCATACACATGCGCCTGGCATGAGTTTTAAGTCATTGGGTCCAGGACATGACTGCAGTTGACTATGTGGGTGTCCAGTGACGTAACCATATGCTATCTGCTGCTCCCAGGTAAAATAATTTTTAAAAAAGCATAATGTGGGGGGAATCAGTTTATTCTATTTCAAGATACATATTACCGCATACAAGACTGTGTGGTATGGGTAGAGTCAATGGGACAGAGTAGAGAGCCCATAAGTAGACCCACATAAATACGCACAATCTATTGTTGACAAAGGCACAAAAGCAATTCAGTGGAGGAAGAGTAATCTTCTCAACAAGTGGTGCTAGATAAATTGGACTTCTATAGGTAAAAAACAAATGGTACTAGATCAACTGGACTTCCATTAGAAAAAAAAAAAGGCAAACAACAACAAAAAAAGTAAGATGGAACAGAAAAAACCTTGACCTAAATCTCATACCTTATATAAAAATGAACTCAAAATGAATAATGGGCTTACATGTAAAATACAAAACTAGGGGCCAGCAGGTGGCCTGGTGGTTAAGGCAGCTGGACTTCCACATGGTTGACTGTGGTTCCAGTCCCAGACCTGGCAGCTTGCTTTCTCATTTTGGGGACCAGCAGTTAGCATAATGACTATGTCGCTGAACTCCCATGTAGTCGACTGCGGTTTGAGTTCCGGACCCGGTGGCTTAAACTCACACCAGGCACATGTGTGTGCGTGCCCAAGATCCTGAGAGGAGAATGGAGGAGAAGGGACTGTGGCATGGCCATCCCCCCTGGGGGGTGATTTCTTGCTTTCTATCTCTCTGTCTCTCTATCTTTCTGGCGAATGCACGTGCCCTATAGCAAAAACCTCTCAAAAAACAAAAACAAAAAAACCCATCTAAGAATCTGGGACTAAGCAAAGAGTTTCTTATACTTGAAATCAAAAGTAGAATCCATAAAGTAAAAAATAAGTTGGACTTCATCAAAATGAAAAACATTTGCTCTATTAAGATGATAAAAAAAAAAACAAAAACAGGCTGAAGACTAGGGGAAATTTGAAAACCTCTGCAAACCAGTCCTTTCACAATGGACTAGAATCTGCAATACATAAAAATCTCTCAAAATTCAACATTTAAAAAAAAATCAAATTAGAAATGTGCAATAGATTTGAAGATATAATACACCAAAGAGGTTATACAGAGAGCAAATAAACACCTGAAAACATATTCAGCAGCATTAGCCACTAAAGGAAAACACATTAAAACCCACGATACCACTACACAGCTATCATGATGGCTAAAGTAAAAAATAGCAATAATGCCAAACACTAACAAGGGTGTGGGTCAAACCGGATCACTCATGCATTGCTGGTGGTGATGTGAAATAATACAGCCATGTTGGAAAACAGCAATTAAAAAACAAAACAAAACAAAACAGAAAAGTAAACATGTAATTACAAGATTCAGCAACTGTACTCCTGAACATTTTAGCCCCCAAAAATGAAAACTTGGGTTCACGCAAAAGTCTGTTCACAAATGTTCATAGCAGCTCTATTGCTAATAGTCAAAAACTGGAAACATTCAGACGTCCTTCAATGAATGGTTACACACAGCCTTATATGCCCAGACCATGGAAAACTACTCAGCCATGAGAAATGAATTACTGATGTATGCAACTTGGTGAATGCTTAATGAAAAAAGCCAATCTCAAAAGGTTACACACTGTATGACTGCATATCACAATATTCTTGAAAATTATAGAAAGAGAACAGATTTTTTTTTTTTTTTAAGAGAGAGATTTTTCTACTATAGAAAGTGTGTGCTTACTGGAGAATCAGAGACAGAGAAAGCGAGAAATCACCCCCTAAAAGGAATGGACACACCACAATCTCTCCTCCATTTTCCTCTCTGGATTTAAGGCACACATGCACATGCGCCTGGCGTGAGTTTTAAGCTCCTGGATCCAGGATTAGAACCATGGTCTACTATATGGGAGTCCAGCGACATAACCGCTATGCCATCTGCTGGTCCTAAGAGAACAGATTCTTAGTGGTGGGGTGAGAGGAAGCAGGTGGATGTGGCTATAGGACAACATGACAGATCTTTATGTTCTGTTGCTCAACCGTATCAATGTTGATATCCTGGTTGTGACACAGGTTCAGTGTCCCTTAACTGAAATGCCTGGTAGCAGAAGAGTTTTGGAGTTTGGTTATTTTGGGGGTGATTTTAAAATCTGAAATATATGTATATACACAATGATATTTTTGAGATGGGACCCAACTCTAAACATGACATTAATTTATTGTTCATATACACCTTACACTTAGAGCCTGAGGCAATTTTATACAATAGCTTTGCATTGCAGCATTTGACTGTGACCTGTCACATGAGGTCAGGTGTGGAATTTCCAACTTGTGGTTTCATGTCAGTGGCTCAAAGTTTCAGATTTTGTGGGCTGACAGGTGGTATGGTGGTTAAGGTGCTGGACTCTGATATAGCTGACCGCAGTTCGAGTCCTGGATATGGTGGCTTTCTTTCTCACTTTCCCTTTCTCTGTTTCTCTCTGGTGAATTTTTAAATAAATAAATAAGTAAATAAATGAACATAAAATAAATAATTTGAAAAAAAAAAAACTTTAGAATTCAGAACATTTCAGATTTTCAGATTAGGGATGCTTAACCTGTCTTGTATTATAGTTTTGCAAGACTTTTTCATCGTTAGACATTGCATAAAGGATATATGGGATCTCTTTGCATTATTTCTTACAACTACATGTGGATCTATAATGTTCTCAAGAGAAAACTTTAATTTTAAAAAGCCTAGTACATATTCATTAAAAATAACAATATGCTTAACATCAGAGTTAGGGAAGCTACTGTAGAGAATATAATACCAATAAGCTTTAAAAAAATCAAAATCTGGGGCCAGCAGGTGGTGCAAAAGTTAAGGCAGCTGGATCTCATGCTGGGCACATGTGCATGTGTGCCCCAAATCTGAAATCTGGCCACATCCCCAACCCCTGGAGGGTGTCTTCTCACTTTTCCTGTCTATCTCTTCCTCTCTGTCTCTTTCTGGAGAAGTACAAGAACCCTATAGAAAACTTAAAAAAAAAATAAAAAGAAGAATTAAAAAAATTAAAAACAAACAAACAAAAATGATTTGGACCCACACTGAGCCTTTAACATTCTTAAAGATTCTTAATTAACAGGTGCTAGACTGCCTGCTCTCTTTCCACTCCAGAGATGTTCTGGTAGATTCAGAAATTAACAAAAAGAATGAACTACCGGATAATCC